GACGGTGTCAGTGGAGGGGAGGGGGTCGCCGCGGGAGGGGAAGGGCTCCCTGTGGTGGGCGCAATTGCAGGTTAGGAGAAGGGGCGGAAGGGGGTGGCGCGCGGGTGGAGGTGGGAGGTGGCGTGTAGTACTCGTGCGGCGCGGCGGCTGCTGCTGTTGTTGCTACCATTGGTGCTCGTGCTGTCGTCGGTCGCCGGCATTGTTGTCCAACCGAGTGCACTCTTCCGTTCTGGACGAAACTTCGCCCCGGCCGCCCAAAATCGGCGCTTGCGTTCCCTCGCAACTCCAGCCGGCTTCGGGATGACGAAACCACGTAGTTGACGTCGTTGTCGTCGTTCGGGTCAGTGTCGAAGACGGCGTGGACGAGCAAGTGGGACATCCGGGCGGAAACTACGCAGACTGAGTTTGGATTACCGTCAGAATCGGTGCACGTGTCGTCTTTATAAGTTTCGACTAAGTACTGTAACTACTTCACTCGACGCAATAAAACTACGTGCTTATCTTGTTTCCGTTGTTGCTTTCCTTTATTTTCTTCGCGTTAAGCGTTGACATGTCGCGGTTTACTTGGAGGTGGAAGTAAAGTGGCACGGTACGGAAGGCTTGGTGGTGGTAATTGGAGTCATCATTGAGACCAAGGTCACGTGGACCCGGAAGTGGGTGAAGTTTGGGTGGAACAAGACGACCAGTGAACCGGGGTCGATGCTGGATGGACGGAAGTACGGATAATTGATGTACGAATGCAACTCCAGACTGTGATAGACGGATTCAGTGGCTTGGAGTCGGTAGATTGATGACACTGGATGAATGATAGAAGACACCACGTGAATGCCGCCTACTATGCGTCGACAACACCTCGGAGTAGGTTCGATGGTTATATCGGCTACAATCTCGTGGTACCCTTGCACCTCGACAAAACTAGGTAACTGTCACCGAGAAACATCAATCACGGAAGACATCCAATAACTGTGCTTGTGATCGGCCGGTGAAGGAATTCAGTGGTCCGGAACCAGCAACGAATCCACCGCACAAATGGCGGAATGAAAGTTCGCGATGAAGAACTGATTGTCATCTGGAGCTGTCGTTATCATTGTACTGATATCGGACTTAGGTAACAACCGATTACACACCCTACTCACGTGGTCAATGTAATTGACAGTATCTGGTGCAACACATGAGTGTAGTCGTGGTACCTTGTTCACCAGCACAAATTCCCATCCCCAGGACCGACGTCGCGAAGATGACTAACACCGCTGGGAACAAACAATAAATCAAAGATAATTGTCGGATAAATGACAAAGATACGTACACTGGTGAGATTATTGTGCTCGAGTCCAGTGAACGGAATCCTGGATGCTGCTGTTGAACCCCTTTGAATGCTGCCAACCGATCCCCCATCACGATTGCACAGGTGAGACCCAGCAATATGACCCTGGTGCCGTTTCATCCGCCATATTGGACGAGAGCATTGACGGTGGTGGAGATGATTGTCTCTATTTCTTTTTTTTTTCTTTTCTTTTTTATTGAGGGAGTCCAAAAGTGCAACTAAGTGCCGGGCTCGAAGCCCGGAGATCTCTCTCGACACTTCCGAGCAGCCAGGGTGATCGAAGCGTGACGAGCAGTAATTGAATGTAGCTAGGACATTTGCATTGACAACCTCCAACAGAGATAATTCGAATCTCGTCGAGCGTCCACACACACGGCCGTTAGGTCGTTTGTCAATACTAGAATAGAGGCACCAGTCGAATGTCCCCGGTAAACAGTTCGTCGCCTTCGATTTAGTCGCCACGTATGGAATTCACAGATAAAACTGCACCTGCATTCCGTGATTAATTCTGCCACCGCGCGCCAGAAACGTCGTTCAAAGATGGCGACGGTGGAATCCCTCATGGACCATTAATATGTCTTTTGGAACTATTCCTCGGTATGGTCACAATGTGTACCTCTTATTTATAAAATCTATATCGCTTCGCGGTTCTAGATCCTCCCTAGGCATATTTCCCGGCCGATTCGGTTTGGAAATGTCCTTTGGAAAGAGTCGTCGGGCCCGCTGATCGAAAACTCGTCGAAGCCCCCGGCGGTGCCGTCCGCGCTGTGCTTCAGTTTCTAATTCAAATAGCGAAGCTGCATTCTCTCGGGGCAGCTCTGTTTGCACGGGCGGGCAAACAATGGGCACCCTCCTGCATGTCGATATTCAGGTGCAGGATTACCGAAGGTACACAAGATGGAATCCTGGCCAGAATAACTGGCTGGGGAACGATTCGCGAAGCCGCGGAAAAGCCCCCGGAAAAATAAGACCCTGGTTGACCGAAATCGAAAATGGCGGCGCGAAGGAGTCCCACCGTTATCTACGGCAGTATTCTCTCGTAAATTGCACCACCGGTCGTCTCGACAATTTCAAGGAAAAAAAAAAAGAATTCTCCTAAAAGAACGCCTTGCTCTATAAACTGATCTCTTATCTTCTCCCCTTTTTACGGTGGGGCATTTGACTTTATACGTGAAACGTTTATTTTACCGGGGAAACATTTCGGAGCTCGTCGATAATTCGGACACGGGGGAAAATGATCCTCGGACGAAGCGGATGCGAATTCCCGGTTTGTGTGTTGGAAAAAGAAGAAATCGATCCATCTATCGCGTTAGCCCCGGCGATGTCCAGCCACGCGCCGCACCGCAAAGGGCTGAGGGGAAAAGAACCGAATAGAGGGCGCTGCACGCGGACGGAGGACCCGATAGGGACACAACGAGTTCGAGAGAGAAGGAGGCGGTACGGTGGGAGATGAAGCGATAAAGAGAGAAGCTAGAGAGAGGGAGACGCCGCGGGAGGGGGAGGGAGGGAGAGAGAAAGACGAAGTTAACCGGCTCGGGGGAGGGTGAGAGGATGTGCCACTGCTGGTGGGGTTGAGATGGGATAGGATGGCTCGGATAGGGGAAAGGGATGCTGCGTGAGTAGGCATGGACCAGTGCGTCAACGGCTGTTGCCTCATACGTATCCACTGGAAATTATGGTTAGTGGTTCATTTCCTTCACGGAACGTCGTTCCTTCTTCGACCACCACCTGAACTTCGCCTGCAAAAGTGCGTCGAAAGCTCTCCTCGATCTCCGATCTTTTCCCTCCTTCAGCCATTGTTCAACTTGAATTTTTTCCCTCTTCCCATACTTCCGGGAAAGGCGATGCTTTGTGAAGCTCAGCAGGAATTGTATAGGTTATGGCGATGGAGTTTCTGGAAGAAAAATCTTTGTGAACAGTGAAGATAGGAAGTATCGGTGTAAGATAAATCGAGGAAGTAACGAGTGGTGGTTTTTGGTATTCATCCGGGTTGACCGGTTTTTCTTGAAGAAAAGCTAATGATCTCCCGGCGTACATCTTAGTTCTTCTTTGAAGTGCGCGGTCAGTGGAAATCGGGGGTTAATGGTTAATCCTGGTCCGTATGTATATTTTCTCCCGGTATTTCGTTTCTCTCCACCTTCCCGGTCTTTCTTCTGAGAGTCTTGGGTCGCGTCGTAAAGAAGGGAGGGTCTTTCCAAGAGATTTGAATGCGAAGTCAGGCGAGGGTGCAGCCGTCGCAAGGAGCCGTCGCCGTTTAACCTGCGATAAGATGGCGGGACTTTCTCTATTACCTGACTGGAAGGAACGTCTTAAAAAGTGTTGAGCTTCGAAAAGAAAAATTAAGACGTCGAAGGGAAGGTTAGTTTCCGGGGAGTCTTGCTCCCTGGGGATATCGGAAGATCCTCCGAACCGGCTCGACAACGTGTACGACCACGTGTAGTTTGACACGCGGCGTCGGTGCGTAGGGGTTGGCCGTGTGGGGGTTGTTCGCCCCCGGAGCTTCTTTTTCCCCTATTTTTTTGCCCCCACTGCCACGGACATCCTATCCCTTCTACCTACGCCCCTGGATCCTCGTGTCACGCGAGTGACGTGCGCAAAAATTACTGAATGAACGGTGACGTCACAGGAAAAGTGTGCGATGCGCGACTCACCCCTCAGCCCGGGACACCTCGGTCCTCGGAGGGGATGAAGAGACGCCGGAAGGGTTGTACGGGGACCTTCGGTAATTTCCATTATCCACGGAGGCTCATGGGCTTGATTAGAATCGTCCGAAACGGCGTCTGAGCGGAATTCCTCAGGTATCCTCAGGGGAGAAAATGCCGATGGCTGAGGAAGGGGTGAAAACCTAGTTACCCTACGTATCGCCTAGTTAAGTCGTTGAGTTGATTAGAAATTTTGTTATCAGCACGGTAGAGTCGCCGAGGCGCTTAAAGACCTCGTTATCGATGAACGAGCTCCTCAGCAGTTAAGTTAATTCCGAATTCCAAGGCTGAGGATGATGACTCGTTGTAAAAAGGTCGTTTCCGTTTCCGTTTCAGCTATGCAGAGGTTCTTCGTGAGACGCAACCGACAGATTCGATGACTTGGTCAGTTCAAGCACCGTTGATGATCCCTCGGCTGAGAGCAATTTGCGATGATCCAAGGCAAGGAAGACGCCGATACGTGTAAGATTCCTTGAAGACTGGACTGGGAAGATGCGCGCATAGTGATGTGCCCTGAACCGATGACCCTGGACTCTCAGGAAGGGTCCTCTGCTCCCTGAGGACCCTGAGAAGAGATATCCACATATAGCAGTTCTCGGCACTGTTAAAACCAACTGCAGTCTCTTGACCAGGGTCCACAGTTGCATCGGTCCTCAGGCGTCTCTCTTCGTTGTGATATCCGCTTCCCAGCGGCCGAAAAGAACGACTCGACGTCGACGGACTGCTGCGAGAAGTTCAGGAAATGTCGTCGTGAACAGTAACCTTCTCCCAGCGGCCATGGAATATCAGATATATAATGACAACTCCCAGCAAAATGTGGACTCCATCGGATCATTCCTTAAGGATTCAGCAATCTCGCGAGTGGATTTGCGACGAGATGTCTTCTTGACCTGAGACTCTCGGACCCGTTAGCTTCTCGTGCTGAGGAAGATCTCAGATGCGAGGCCATGTTCCACCCGATGTTCTGACTGCCTATGGATATATTCGGGCGCTGCAACGGCGGCAGCAGAGTAACTGGGAGCGGCACTGGGAGCGGGGCTGGGAGCGTCGTCAGGGTCACGGAGTCCGGGGCGATTCCCGGAGGAACCTCAGGAACCACGACAGGGGGAACGAGTACTGGGACCACCGGCAGGATGCAGCTAACAGGTGCATCCGCGCCAGGTGCGGCGGCGTCGCCCGAGTCCGGCGTCTCGCCGTTGGCCGATGCCTACACCAAGATGACCAGCGACATCTTGGCTGAGAGGACGCTGGGAGACTTTGTCACCGAGCACACGGGGGAGCTGGTGAGAACAGGTGAGGATGAGATTTCGGGCAAGACATCCTAAATAACCCGCTGAGGCTTTCTCATCAATGATCCCACAACAAATCATCGCTGAGAATTTCTCAGCGGTGACTTCCCTCGTTACATCCCAGCAAGTCATTGTGCTGGTTTGTATAGTTCATCGGAACACTTTCCACGTGTCTTTTCTGGATGAATCTTTCTGCGGGAACTCTTGCTGCGGCGTTCTAAACTGCTGGGAGGACTTATCAGGAACTTGTATTTGTTCTCAGGTTCACCACACCTCGTCTGCACCGTCCTTCCACCACACTGGAGGTCCAACAAGACCTTGCCAGCTGCGTTCAAGGTAGTCGCTCTGGGCGAAGTGGGAGATGGCACTCCGGTCACCGTGAGAGCTGGGAACGACGAGAACTGCTGCGCCGAGCTGAGGAACTCCACCGCGTTGATGAAGAATCACGTCGCGAAATTCAACGACCTCAGATTCGTCGGCAGGAGCGGGAGAGGTGAGTTTCTCGACGTGCACGCTTTTTGCGTCTGCCTCCACCATTCCCAACTATTCCCACTACTATTCACCAGTACTCTCACGTGATTGTTCGATTAAATTCCCGAATATCTCGGAAATTAATAAGCTCAGAGAATGACTGTAAAGAACTTTTCTTCTTCGTATATCCTTTAGGATCTACCGGCAAGGTCTCAGTCGAGGGCCTCTTAGGAAAAACCATTAATTCCTTTCTCAATTCTTAATTAGAGGTGCTTTCGTTAACGCTCGAAGAATTCTGGGGTCTCCCCTGGCCTAGTTTCGAGTTCTCCATTCATAAAACTGGAGAAAGTTCGTTGACAGACGGGGAGGGAGGGCCCGGAAGACGAGGGTGAAGGCGGTGAACGCCGCCCCAGACGTAAGGGTAGGTCGGGGACGTCTTGGGGCAACTGCCCCCATTTTTCCTCGCCGCCTCTCTGGGAGAAAAGTCGCGCCGGGGGAACCGGAAGGGCTTGGGTTTGGGTTTGGGTTTGCGTCTTGCGGGGTTCTCAGCCCCCGTCTTGGGCCTGGGGTGGGTAATGGATTTTATTTGTCGGGTACCAGCCGCCTACTTGGGGGAAAAACACCCCCCGGCCTAAGGCTAGGGGATGAACCTCCGTCGATGCCAGACTCCACGGCTGTGATATTAATTGTGGCTTCAGTTGGGTTTTAATTAACGTTATTAGCGTCGGTATTTCAACTTCGCGGCCCAACCCTGGTTTGCTTAAGAGATGCCAAATTAAGCGGCTTTAATATCAATTTCCGCGATAAGTGGATAGGGAGATATGTTACTCCACCGTTATTATTCGTTTATTAATTATACGAAATTCGGGAATACCTTGGAATATTTATTTTTATTTACATTATTTTCGAGGTTAGGGCATTCGAGTCCTTAAAATTTAGGGGTTCGCATGTTTCCGCCATTTTCGAGGCGCTAGGACCAAATTAAGTCGGCAGGAAGTTCTCTAAGCCTTCTCGTACGAAGTGGTAAGGCTACACGCGAGATTTTCCATTTCGACGGCACCGGGAAGGTGATTAGCGATTCCCGAGGGACTCCGTCGAGGTCCTAGGAATAATCAACCGAAGAGCTGGAAGTCTCTCCCGGAAAGGAACGGAGACTCCTACATCCTTCATCCTAGCTTATGTTAATGCCACCCCCACCCCCGCCTGGCGAAAACAATTGAGAGCTAATCCCAGACAAATGACTGACGCGCCCCCACAGTTCCAGGGGAGGATTCACCCCTGTTTGCCTCTAGAGAATTTCCCGAATTTCGGATTAGATCAAATCGAACGGGACCAGTAATCTAAATCGATCGAAAATAAATAAGTGACGTATCTACATTGTACAAAATTATCACATGAGAAAAAACGCAGAGAGAAAGTGGCGCCATTCTTTTTGTAATGTTTCCTGTAATTTTTTTGGGGAAATCTAGGTATTATAAAACATGTCAACGGCTATTGAAACTGTAAATTGCTGACGAATGACTAAAGCGTCCCCAGAGGTTCGGTTCAGCACTTCCCGGGGGATCTTCCGGAATGTGAAATTAAAATTTCGGAGTAATCGCAATTAATTCCCCAGCTGAACTTCGGCGGGAAATTTGAAAGAGCTCGACGACCAGTCGCGGAATAAAAATTGGAGAAATTTTGTTTCGCTACTCCTGGGGTGGGTCCTTTGAAGTCAGATATATTTTAACGAAGCGGAAGGGCCATTTTGGCGAACGGCGGGGTGTAAAGTGATAAAAGAATCCGAAGGGAGCCCCCGAGGGTGGGATTCGGACGGTGCGTGGGGAATTTCGGGAAACTCGTCCGGAGGTTGGGAAGGAAAAGAACCGCTCTCGTAGGGGCTCGTACCGAAGAATCTCTGGCACCCTATCAAAGCCCCAGAACTTCGCAATATCGATGATAAGCCGAACTCGTCTCGTCAGGTTCTCGTGTAATACCGGCCCCATCCTGGCGGAGCCTTCTTTGAGGGTAGCGAATCGCAATCCACCCCTTCGTCGTTAAACCCTTTAACGAGATAGATCATTTAGGCGAGCCGCTCTCTCGTTCGTGGGCGGATACCCGGCAATTTTCTCAGTTTTCGGTGCGATCCCCCATCCGCCATTTTCCACAGAATCTAGGGAGCCTCCTCCACCGATTCAAGGCGCGCCACAAAATGCACGGGAAGCCGTAACTCGTCCAAACTAAATATCCACGTATTTAATAATCAAGGGTAGAAAATGGTTTCGAATCCCGGAGGACCCAACAGCGGTCGAAATTTGTTCTCTTTGTGCGTTTCTTGTCGAGGACGATTGTTTGATCGCGGGCACAAGTGCGTTCCCATGATCCGCCCGGACCGCAACCAATTCGTTACCAGAATATGTATAATCCCTCATTTCCGATTCGTTCGGTGAAAATGGAAATTAATTAATTGGCTCGATAACTCACACCACCCCCTGTGTACGTCCACATTAATTGCTGCTAACCTCCGGCGAAATATCAACGGTACAAACTATTATCAGCTACGAGCCGGAACGTCGCGTCCGTTTTTTCCTATTATGGTTTATTTTCTTTTCCTTTGTTTTGCCGAAAACGCCTCCTTTTTGAAACGTCTCTGGTATCGTTTCACCATGTCCCATCTTTAAAACGAGTCCTTCGACTCGGCGAGGTTACGTTGGGCGACTTTTAGCGTTCACTCGGCGACTGGCACCGAGGGTGATACCTGAGTGGGCAGGGTAACCTAACGTAGGGGAACATAACCTCCCGGGTGAAAAGGTGGAGGGTGGCTAGCTCGAGGATGGCGTGACTCGACTCGTAAACACGATGGGCGGTGGGTGGTGGGTGGTGGGTGGCGGGCGAGGAAGGAGAGCCTTGCGTGGCGAACCACCGTGTGGCCACGGCGGACACTCGGCGTTATTCCCTTCACTTCCGGTGCATCGAGCACCTCGTGGTACCGTGGGTTTTACCCCCGGTTTTAACCTCCGTTTTGCCCCTATTTACCCCCGGATTTCAGCTGACTTCACCCCTTTTTACTCGTCGCCCGTTTACGGGCCACGCGACTTCTGGCACCGTCGGGGACGAACCCCTAATCAAGGGGGCGAATGAATGACAACTTTGCTTGCTGCATTTATTTATTTACCGGGAGTACATTTATCGCAAAGTACATTGGTAACGTTCGGGTGGTCCTTCGGGTCTGTCTTCAGTCCTCTTGTCTTCAGCTCTTCTTAACGAATTAATTCCTCTTCTTTCTCTAAGCGGGAAGCACGACTCGCCTCCACGCCGGCTCGCATTCAAATGGCGGCGTTTCGTTTTCACGCTCGTTGAGCCGCGTTTCGGGCAGGGAGGGGCGCTGGGGTCGCGGGGGTGGAATTGCGGTGAACCTCTGCGTGTACGCCGTGGCGCGCGCGTGTACATTTAGCGCGACGGCGACGCCACTTTTTCCGCGACATTATTCCCGCTTAACGGGCTTTTTACCATGGCGCCCGTTTTCCGCGCGACCCTTAACTCGGCCGCACGCGCCTCGGACGCCGCGAGCGCCCTCTCGATACATTAACCGGCCCGTAATTCGTTTACGAGCAGTTCGCCGGGCTAACGTTATTTGCGAACTTTTGCGCCCCTGATCGAACCGACGCTCGCAAACCCAAGAGTAAGGCCGTCTTTCTCTCACTCTCCGGTCGGGTCGCGGTTTTGTCCTTCCTAGGAATGGCGGTCGAAGCAGGAAATTCTATCCCTAATCTAACCTAACTTCTAACGTTTCACGCAAATCCTGGGGAGTTTTACCCCGATTTGAACCCTTCTTACGACGTTTCGCCCTGATAATAACCCTTTCCACAACGCCGCGAAAAATATATTATCTAATCTGTAACTAATCTGTTTGGAGAGAAGAGTCTCAGCTTGGCGACAACCCTTCCTAAGATACCGTCAATAATTCATCCTGACCTTGCTTTTAACGTCGACACGTTCCGTATAGCCGAAAATATTCTACCTAACCTAACTTTTACCGTTCTATGCAGGAACGACTCTTACTTCAACATTGACCTTTCCGACAACGATGTCAGAAATATTGTACCTAACATGATTTGTAACGTTCTGTGCAGGGAAGAGTTTCACCCTGACGATAACCCTTTCTACGACGCCGCCCCAGGTGGCGACGTACGCAAAGGCCATCAAGGTGACAGTGGACGGGCCACGTGAGCCCAGATCCAAGACCAGTGAGTATCACTGTAAGCATTTCTACATTCACTTATCAATTTTCCTTAGTGAGTAAGGCCGAATGAAGTAACGCCGAGCGGATTCGCCGCTCAACCTTAACGGCCATGTTTGCCAAAGGTGCCTTAAATTTCCGCGCGGCTTTGCACTCGGCGTTACCAAGTTCGCAGAATCCCCATTATTTATAACCGCGGTGGGCGTGTTACGTTGATAAAGGACTGCGGCATAACTGTGCGGATATACCGGAAGTCGGCACCGAAGTTTCCGCCATCTCGGGGCTCCTTAACTGCGGCAGCGGGACGTAGAATTACCGTGTCCCCCATTCTCCAGGATTGCTACGAAACGTAGTCTATTGTGTCCTGATGGGCGCCTATCGAAGCCTCGAATTAGCTTTTCTATCCAGGCACTTTAGGCTGGCATTGATCGTTCCACTGATAGAGGAGCCGCTCTTCGCCGACGCATCCTTTGATTCGTCCAAATGGAGGTTAGGTACGGGGCACCATTGAATTCAGTTTGTACTTCCCGTGTTTTTTTTCGTCTTCTTTGAGAACACGACGCTCTCCGAGGGGCTCGAGACGCGGCAGAAGTGAGCGCTCGTAATTCCCTGATCACCACCTAAGCGGAGTAGCACGATAATACTCCACCCCGAGGAGTTAAAAATAAAACGGGAGCCGTGCGGTACGTCGCATCGGTCGTTAAAACAGACGATTCTCCGAAAATGGCCAGCGACGTCTCCGGACATCAAATGTTCCGAAACGCGGAGAGGCGAGATGAAAGGCCGGCTTTTCTCCCGGGTGGTCCAGCACTTCTAGCTCGAAATGCCGCTGCTGGGACTCACCAAAGTTGGGATGATCCGGATACAAAAGGGCAACTGGATGGATCCATTGCATCTCCGATCGGGTATCTTGTGGATGAGCGTTAGTGACCTGGAACCAACGCTACGGGAATTAATTAAACCGGCAAGAGTTGGGTGCCCGGCAAAAACCGAAGAGACCGGATCGATGTCATCCCATTCCTGGTGCTGATCGGATATCTTCCAGAGGTCCATTCGAGGTCCTGCCCTCTTGGAAGGAGAACTTTGACAGCAGGATAAATGCGCTCCGGCTTGGGTGGCTGGGCGCAGGGGTTGTAATTAATTAAACAAGCAATTCATTACACATTCAACCCTTCGGGCCCATCCCCGAGGGTAACCGCCATAGAAAGGCGGACCAAGGAAATTGATTGAGAAGGGTTTCTCCGCTTCTCCGGATGCTCTTCTCGATCGGAAGGCTTCGAAGCTCATCGATCTGGAGGACCGGCCCGAGGGAATTCCTTGAGGCTGGACGCCTGTCGGGAACAGGGAGACATCGGGAGCCATCCTGCTGGACACTCAGAACTCCGATGTCGAGGGAGGCCGAAATGAGGAAGCTGTCCGGGCCAGCTGGTTGCTTCGGAGAAATTCCCTGGCAGCCGGAACTAAGAGGATACCGAATCGATACCTAACACTCAAAGGGATCCCTTTCGAGCTGTGACTGCTTCCACGTGTCCTGCACCGCTGGCCTTAAAAGGGCTCCCAATGAGTGTCATCGGAGCAGCCCAATTAGAGGCCCCACCTCCCAACGTGGGAGATCGAGTCATTCGGAGATGGTGATTACTGGTGGGCGGATATCCAAAGACGCGGACCTTGGAAAATCTCTACCGATGTCACCGATGTCAGTGGGATCACTCGTGTAATCCTACATTTGAGGTGTGAGGTCCCAAGCCGGTTGTCCGGTTTTGCACAATTCCCCGGAATCCTCTACGAGAGGCTCGGACACTGGGACATCCCTCTTCAGGATATTCCGGACAGCTCGCGTGAGATCCCGTGGCGCGGGACCCAGAAGAGGGTCCTGGAACAGTGACGTCTAATGAAATAGAGCAAACGCCCCACGGCGGGTGGCCGCGAGAACACGCAAGGGTCCCGTGATAAATTCGGGGGTTGGACTGGATAATTTATTAAATTTATCAAGTCCCGCCGTCTGCGGAAGGAGCGCCATTCTCCGGCGTCCTTCTCCATTAATTGGAACCCCGCTGGCCTTCCGGTGCGTCGAGTTCCAGCCCAGGTCCGACTGTTGGGACCAGCCGAGGAATCTGCATTCACCATGAACGTGGACTTCCTAGTCCGATCCTGCATCAACCATGAGCATCCTATGATCCTTCTTTTTCGGACACCATTAGTCCATCATCATCTAAACCTCTTTCCAAGCTGGACAAGTTAAACTCCAAATTTCCGAACGCGGTGAAACTCCGTCGATGGAACTTTCGCTACTGGGTGTGCCAATTATCCTCCGTGGAAGTTGATCACTACTCGTCTACCGTTTGGGAGGGTCCAATTCCTGGGCGGCCACCTGGTGCCTCCATCCATGGAGGTATTGGGAGTAACCAACACTTTGGACACCCGACGGATGGGTCCAAAATGCAGGAGTCATCTTCGTTTGACCAGAGCTCGTTAGCCGTTCCTCCGGTGTCCCAGGACCCCGAGCGGAGGGTCCCCTGATCGACCTGGTCCTATTCAGCAAACTAGCGGGAATTTCGGCTTGCCGAGTTAGAATTAGGGCTTCGATTGGATTATCAGGCGGGTCCGCGCCATTGCCTGGTCTCTAGTGCCTTCTCGTAGGTGGTGGTCCAATGGACACGTTGGTGGCTGGGCCAACACCCACACCGCCCCACCGCGGTGTGGAAGGAGCGGTACCAGCGCCAGTCTGTTGGGACGTCTTTAATTGGGTTGCCGACACTGTCCGTGGGAAATAAAACGTATCGGGTCCCGCTCTACGTTGCTTTGTCCTTCCCACCGAGTCTAGACAAAGAGGGTGTGTCCGCCTGGCCGTAGGTTCCCAATTCGGTAGTTTCGTGTATGAATCTGGGATTCTGCTCCTTTGTTCCGTTGACTCTCTTCCATCTGCATGACTTGGTGTTCAATATCGATCGAATCGGTGCCGATGCACGTTGGGGTTAGGTTTCTAGGGCGTTTGTCGAAAAATGGGGACGGTTGCAGGTGGAGCTGATATTTAGGGACTCGGTTAGGTGAGTCTAGCCAGGGGCACGAGTTCCTGAGGTCCAGTGGACAGGCGCACGGTTGATCGCAGTGTTGTCACTTTTAGGGCAGCAGCAACAGCTCCACGCGTTCGCCATCGCTTCTCAACGAGGTGGCCCTTTCTTCACCTCGCCCCTGGTGGACTCTTTGCAACCCTTGTCGAGTCCGTTGCAACACCTACCGAGCTCACTGCAGCCGAGGGATCCCTTGTCGTCGTTCCGGCACGCCATGCCCGGCAACTGTCAAAGTGAGTACTCCGCATATCAGTTAGGAAATAGCTAGGTCTAACCGAAGTCATTGAATGATGCCCACGCAACCAGACGTACAGTACTGTACAGTACAGTACATCAGCAATGACCAACCTGATCACCCGTTCATCAACCCTGCCGATGTTAGACTGTGTTCCGATTATTCGCTGTGAAGGGAGGCAGATGATGAGACTTCCGGAAATCTGGAGGTAACCGATGTTTCGTCATCACAGCGAGTCAGAAATGCCGGAACGCATTCACCTTTGGTTTCTGCTCCGGATTTTAGGCAAAGCCCTGGATAGGCTCGAAAGCTAGGTTCTCCGTTTCTCCAGGAGCGGAAACCGCAAGCCCGTTCAAAGCTAGATTAAATATTATATTAAAGGGGTTGCTGCCGGTGGCGCAGGGGTGTTTTGCCTCGCTCTACACCCAGCTAGGGCTGCTCGTTTGTGTTCGGAACATGGACGAGCCGTCTCACACTGGCGAGCGCCGTCGACCAGAAGTTGGACCAGCACGAGCTGGACTCGGTTGTCGGCCCTGTTGGGCATCAGGCTGTAAATGGTTCCACGAAGCTTAATGAATTTTCTGAGACGCCCTGCCCGAAGGACGAAACATAGTAAACCACACGACCTGTCTGGAATGTTCCTCTTATTAATTTTTCCGCGACCCTCGAGGCAGGGAAGTCAAGTCTCAGAATTGGCTCATCTGGGTGCAGCATGAAAAGTGTTTATGATAGATTTCTAAAGCTGATTCAGGAGTTCGGTATTGGATCGCGTATGTCTAAAAGGTCCCACAAGTCTGGGGATTTTTTTCTTCTCCTTAATAAACAAGCTATATGGGAGCATAGTAGATTGGAGTATTTAGGTTGGCCGCACCGGTGCAGCGGCGTCCAGGAGAGACGACTGGGTTATTTGAGTTTGAGCTGAGGTTGGGGATGACCAACCCTTTGATCTCGCCACCTCTCAATGTGTCCTTTCCTACCCTTTTCCGGTGGGTCCAACTACCCCTAACTCGTTGGGCAACCTAGCTGGGGTGCGGGCTCCCGGAAAAGTGCAGACCACGCAGGGATGTCCAGCGTTGTAGGCTTCTTCTCGACTGAAATACTTGGAACCACCGTAGCGATTCGCAGTTATCATATCTAAATCGTTTACAATTAAAAAAAATAATAGAAATAACGTCAATGACTTAACCATTTATATTGGATATCCAGCTGTTCCAGAGTTCAGATCAAAGTTAGATTCGCATCAGTGGGGGTCGAGAAAGGATAATTGCCGCCCTAGCTAGTCTTTTCACATCTAAATCGTATACAATAAAAAAAAAAAATTAGAAATAGCGTCAATGACTTAACCATTTATATTAGTTCTCTACCTGTTCGGCTGTATGGCGATGACGATGACCAGAGTCTAAATTAAGATTTAAGTTAGGTTCTCATCAGTAGGGGTAGGAGGAAGGATCATTGCCGACCCAGCTAGTCTTTTCCCTAGCCCCTTCATAGCTTCAAACGTCCCTCTTCTCTTCAGACATGTCCCAGTTCGGCTTAACCGCTGGGAACTCCTGGGGTTACGGAACCACGGCCGGTTACGCTGGATACCTTCCGGGCCCGCTGTCGTCTTGCGCAGCGCAGGCCCCGTTTCCTCCACCACCTCCTCAGCCACCTCCACCACCACCACCGTCGTCGACCTTGGCGTCGTTTGCTGGGAGTGGAGCGATGACCACCCCAACTGCACCTGACTCCACGGCAGGTGCCACGGTGACGGCATCCGCGACTGCAGGCACCACCCCCCAACAGGACGCCTTCTCAGCAGTCTCGTCGCGTGAGTAGCAGCCTCTCAGCACTATAAGATAATCAATCGCGGATATAATTCCTAGAAACGTTCCCAGAGCAAAGAGACGAGGTCCCTTCACGCGTGCGTTTAATCGTGGTGTTAATAAACAGTGGTCCCGGACACGACAACTCCAGGCCAGCCCGACCCGCTGGATCCTCTCAGCACCTTGATCTCAGGATCCACCACTCAGAGGTACCAGGATTACGTATCCTCGAGATCGCTGTCGACGGACTCCAGCACCACCGAGAGTCCCGTGCACGAGGAGGGATTCGGTCAAAACTACGGCAACTACTTCCCCACTCCGGGAGTGTTCCCCAGCATCCTCTACTCCCAGCTGTATGGAAACCAGTTTCAGAACTCCGAGGCTGCGGAACAGCAGCGAGCGGTGCCGGACAGCTGCAGCGTCCGGCAGGAGGAAGTCAGGCCTGATAACAATGTTTGGAGGCCCTACTGAGAGGCAGCGGCCTCAGGGGCGAGGGTTCCTCAGCCTGGACTTGATAACGTTCCCGGAGGAGCCGGCTTGATTCGATGGTCCTGATGTAATTGAATCTGCGAAACTGTTTCTCTTCATCTGGAGTTATCGACCTCAGGAATGTCTCAGCTGCTGCTGCGTTAATCTACCTCTCGGCGCGAGACCTGTGACTTCATGAAGGATTGACTCTGGGACTCTGGCTAGGATTCAGGATCATCGGCTACGACTGGGACATGAAATCCTCAGGGCTGAGGAATCCTCGATCCGAGTCCGCAGAGTCCTTTAGGACTTGCTAGGATTTGGTGGTCCCGGCTTCGTGCAATCTGCGAAATCGTTCCTTACTCTGAGATCCCCGTCCTCAGCGCTGCTGGGACTCTCAGATAATCTTTAGGACGTTGATTCTCGTCAACGGCAACACTCAGTGGGCATTAAACAGTACGGAACTCGGTAATTCAAGGGTACTACTCGGCGGCGAAGCTGCTCCCAGCATTCTCGGGCACCTGCACCTGCCGTCTCTGGGACCTCTGTCGCTGGGTCCGGAGATTACGTGGCCGCGAGGTCGTCGCCGACGAACCTCGCGACCTTTCTTCTTTTTTTTTTTTAAATATCGTATATCTTTAGCCACGTGGGTTCCCTGGGAACCTCTGAGAGAATGTCGGTGCGTGCGTGTGCGAGTGCTAGGAGAGATTTCAGACGGTGCAACCGGCTTTGTACATACATGTAAATAAATCGATTTAGAGTCGAGCGTTCCCTCGAATGACGCATGCGAACTGCGGCCGGAGATAAATTATTTCTTTAATTATGTTTCATAGAATATATATATAAATATATATATAAATATATATTGAATATGTACATTGCGCGCGTAATGTGGGCGCTGATGATTTGGGAACGTGCAATAAGGAATCGGCCTCCTGTGCGAGATCTCGGAGGGCCGAGAACCGAAACGAATTTCGAGTCGAGGGAAAATGCGTCCATAGGAATTTCGTCATCGCTCTTATTTAGGCGTCCCATGTTGCAAGCTGAAAAAAAAAAATTCTCAACGAAAACCGTCCGCCATCGGGACGCGATCCCCGGGGCGAACCTCACATCGAACTGCGTGTCGACCTGGGCAGGACTAACCTCTTTCATCCTGTGCAATGTTTTCGTGCTCTCGCGGTACTCGCGGATTATTTTGCGGTCGAAAGCCCGTTTATGGATTATTTCCGATACATATCTACCGAACTATTGTTACCGTAGTTTTTTGACTGAGTCGAATACAATGTATTTCAAAATATAACAGAAGTCGTTTCATTTACCCTAGCGACTAGTTCCGTATTTAGGTTAGGAATTCGTTTTTAGATACGTGACGTTTCGTTTTGCATAACTTACCGCCAATTTTGGTAAGGAGTAGATCTTTAAACCGAGTTGTTCTGTTTCCCATAACAAGTTGTCATCAATTTATCCTAGGAATTCGTTTTCATAAACAAGACAAGTTTCATTTTTCATACCTCATCGCCGATTTTGGTATTATTTTTAATTTATTTTTAAACCGAGTTGTTTTATTTCCCACTACAAGTCGTCCTCCATTTAGCCCGGGAATTTGATTTTAATAGCGAGACGTTTTATTTCCCATACAAAATTGCCATCGATTTATGCTAGGAATTAGAAATTTCGTACAAGACATATTATTTCCCACGACGAGTTGTGAACGCTTTAAGTTGAGAATCTGCTTTCGCAACATGTTTTCATTTCATCCGCCGAGTTGTCGTTAGTTTACGTTACGAACTAATTTTTGGAATCGGTCGCTGAGGGGGCAGGGCTACAGGGTACGGCTACCTGAAGTTGGTAGTCCTCAACTTCTTGATGTCATTTGCGGATACTCCTGGATGTAAATGTCCTTTACTGTTCCCTAATTGCCCCCGCATTTTCAGCCGAGCTGGGAACCTCTGGCCGTGGTCGTGAGTGTATGTATACATTCCGATCCCCCACCACAAAGACTACCGACGGCCGGCTAAAAGATTCCCCGCAGCCCCGGATGCGTGCGTCCATATAAACGCGAGTTCCCGAAGGATTTAATTAAACCCGACCTCTCAACAGTGACGGAAACACTTCGGGAGGCGTCTGAAAAAAAATTCCTACGCTTCTTCGCGCGGTCTGGTTCGCTGGTTGGAACATTTTTACGGATTTCTTCGAGAACTTCCCGACAAAGGCTCTCCATTGCACAGAAACTTCTGGAGCTACGAGTTCTCCGCCAAGCCAGGCTTCGAGATGCTGATAGTCAACGATTTCGGCAGTTTATTGTGCATCGCAGTATATACAGATCGGTGAGTGAAGTTATTGTTTACACCCGAAGAAAAGAATCTGGCTGTACGAATAAAATTGTGTAATTGACTGCAGTTGGTTGATGTTAGAAAATGTTCCGATTAAGTGGACTTTCAGTTCACTTGACTACGCCAACTGAAATATCTTGGTTAAATGGTTTTCTTCATTTTGGAAAGTAGGTTAATCGATGAATAAAGTATTTCAATCAAATGTCCCAAGTTACTTAAATATTTCCTCGGTTCCCTGCAATGACCATTATAACGAGTGAATCCGCAGAAATGGTAATTGTTCAACCAAATTCTTTTCTATGGGTATCTAAATTGCGACACAGCGAAAAATTACAAGTATGAAAGAAATCGTTCATTATGGTGAACTAATAGCCAACAATTTGGATAGTTTTATCGGTCCCATACGGTTTATCTGTATGGTACAGGTTATGTAACGGATGTTAGGACGCACATAACCTACAAAGTCTAACCTTGAAGTCGTCTTACAGACGAGGGACAAACAAAAGACGGAGGCGGCCTAGGAGACTTTATTTACAAAGAAAGTGTACATTTCCGTATAATTAGACTTGGCTATAAATACGCTGGAAAGAAGGGAGGCTAATTAATGTTGAGGCGGGGATTTAGGTGCAGTGAATGAGCGGGCGGAAAGCTGGGACGGTCTAGGCCGAGGTTTTACCGATCCCAGCGGGCTTGGTTTGCGGAAGATACAGGCCTCGATGGGCACCGTGGTCAAGAGTGGGATGGAGTTGCGTTTATACGTGGTGCGAGCATAATGGAGTAGAGTGGAGCAGCAGAGTGGAGTAGAGTAAGGGATAATGGAGTATGGAGAATAGCGGATAGCGAATAGCGGAATAGCTTCGCCGTTCGCGATGCGGCCGAGAGGGTCCGAGGCCAAACTGGACGCGGTTCGTTGGCCGGACCAGTTGCCCGTTCCGATTTATTGCTCCCTCGTATCGTCTGCTGTTCGTCCGATTACCGCCAAATGTCGAGCCCTGAAATGTGCCAAGTCTTTCTTTCCGATGCACGTAGCCGCGTTTTCTTGACATTCCCATAGAACTGACAACGGAAATGAAGATGCATAGTATGCGTATATATCCAAAGGCAGCATCCTCCGTCTCCAGATCTTTCCGGAAATATGCGGGGCATACCTTGGAAAAAGTTGGAAAATTAGAAATTTCTAGATACACGAAACTTTAACGAGGTTTGAGATATCATTGGGTTGTCCCTTAAATTCGTGCCTTTCTTATGCTTAAATAAATTATTTTATGAACTGGAATTTTGCGATATTCAGTTAATCATGTATCCTAATTCGTTGATCGAAACCTCTTCCCCCACGTTCGCGCAGTTTCCGATCCTTCGGTTGAAAAAATTAACATGATAAAATTTCAATATTTAAATGGCACGAAGTTAAGGACCAGCCTGATATGAATGGTAGAAAATATGTGGTCATTTTTTTTGTTGGTTTGGACTGCGGTATTTATTCACTTTGTAGCATCTCCTTTTCGCGTCAAAATGCTAAAATATGTATTTTAACCTTGCGCGGGATTATACCTCTTCATATGATTAACAAGATGGCGGCGGTCAATCCTTTCGCATCGGCTAAGAACGAGGTTGCCGTGGGGAAACTAAACGTTCCTTCGCGATTATTAACACATTCGCGACCGGCAAATTTTGTTTCCGTTTCAAATACTGAGTACCGGCGAAAATAATGAAATTCTGAAACCGGTCGCCGGAAACTTGTACTGTTAAAGCAAGGATAAAAATGATAAAGTTTGTGCGCCGCGCCGGCTAACAATTAGCGAGCCAACTAAGCAGGACGTGATTCACGTCAGCGGGAATCAGGGATAGAATTGAAAATAACGTGAATTCACGTGAGCGGTCCCGAATGTGTTAAGACGGTAACGTGTAGTGGGTATAGCGAAGTTAACGTAACTGATCGAGAGAGTAAATTTTGTCGCCGGTTTTAGATTTAAAAAGCGGGATAACGTGGATGGAAAGTACTCTCTTTGAGGCATAGAATGCACGTGGCGTCACCGTGAGCAGCCCACGGTATAGGGACAGTAGCGACAGGGGAGGTTAGGTCGTTACACGCACCGGTCACTGCCACCCCCATGCTCTGCACTGCCAACCCCATGCAAAATCACCCTTTGTCCGGCCGGATAGGAAATTACTTTCCGGCCGTCGATTACGAGGCGAATTTTTGGACTAACTGTCTCCCCCGCCGGGAACTCCTACGATTGGAATCGGTAATACCGGACGACTTGACAGCCCATGGCCAATCAAAACCGGCCGTTTAACGACCCGCCCGATCGATTTCCACATTCAACGCGAATTACTTCCGGAAAATACCCGGATTTCCCGATATAACTTATAACGAAATTCGTATCCACTGTTGGTTATCTCCGCTCGAGGTTTTATAAAGTTCGCTTCACTACGGGCTCACGAAGCTTCGGGTGCACTTCACACCTTTGGCCAACCCCTAAATGGGGCGATCCACTTAATTCGAATATTTATATATTACCCTCCATCTGCAAGAAATTCCTGACCAAGCATTTATCCCGTTAAAAGGGTATTAAGTACGGATATTTGATATATTCCTTTGGATCCACGTGAAGTGTTAAAAGAACATATTATAATTTTATTGCACTTTCGTTGGAAGTTTCATTCGGA